TTGCTGCTGTGCGAGAGAGCGTGCGTCAAGACCCGAATCAGTCATTGCGGCGACGTGCACAAGAACTTGCCCTTCCAAAGACCTCAACATGGACAATTATGCGTCGAGACTTGAAATTGCACGGGTACAAAATTCAATTGACGCAAGAATTGAAACCGCAAGACCATGGACAGCGCCGTACATTTGTCGCATGGGCTCTAGAGCAGTTGCAAGTCGACCCTGCATTTGCACGAAAAATCATCTTCAGCGACGAGGCGCATTTCTGGATGAATGGGTATGTCAATAAACAGAATTGCCGTATATGGGCTGACCAAAATCCTGAAGTGACTTGCTCAATTGCTATGCATCCTGCTAAAGTGACTGTATGGTGCGGTTTCTGGGCTGGCGGCGTAATCGGTCCATATTTTTTTGAGGACGCTATGGGCAACGCGCTTACGGTCAATGGAGATCGGTATCGCGCCATGATTAATGATTTCCTGTGGCCTCAACTGGACGATATGGATCTAACAGACATCTGGTTCCAGTAGGACGGCGCTACGTGCCACACCGCACGCGCAACGCTGGATTTACTGCATGAAAAGTTCAACGGTTTCATTATTTCGCGCGGCGGCCATGTGCACTGGCCACCAAGATCGTGCGATATAACGCCTTTAGACTTTTTCCTGTGGGGCTACGTGAAGTCTCAAGTGTATGCGGATAAGCCACAAACAATTGCAGCATTAAGGGCCAACATCATTCGCGTCCTCGGACAGGTAGACGCTGAAATGTGCGGAAAAGTGCTCGAAAATTGGACCATGCGAATGCACGCTGTACAGCGCAGTCGCGGTGGCCATTTAAACGATATAATCTTCCATACATAATGTCGTCGAATGCTATTTACGATCAATATAGACTTTTAGTGCTGACTTAATTTTTTTTCCTTTTTTTTTCATTTTAACTTTCGAGCGTCCTTATCTGAACACCCTTTACTATGCCAAGTACGTAAACGCCTTCAAAGAAAGTTTTTTCAAAATCGGTCCAGTGGCGGCAGAACTAGGGGCAAAGACACGAAGAAATAAACTTCGTTTTTTGATGTTTCAGAGACTCCTGATCATTTTCAGAATTTTTTTGTAGGGGTTGGAGGTTGTAGGTAAGGGGGAAGGTACATCTCATTTTGTTGGCGGCAGTATATTTATACGCTCCCAACCCCAGTAATTTTAGGCAGCTATCAGTACAGATTTCATAAATCAAATATTTCCCCGTGCATTTGCCCTTATAACTTATATATGATATTTATAGATAACACACGCGGTTGGTCGGGACGATGCGATGCAACGGCGACTTTCATACGCCGAACCCTGCCTTGCATCTGACAGCATCGTCGGCAGGGATGTTATCACATTGTGGTTGATACTTATGACGTGTTTGACTGGTATGGTCCAGCAGCGTTGCCAGATATTCGGTACAGGGAAGAAACCAGCGTTAGCGTTATCAAATGGATGGGGACTATGAAGGATGTGCTAATTGTATGTGGGGCCGTTTGGCTGACTTGACTCATTTAATTTTTTTATACATGTCTGTAGCTAGGTCAAGGGGACTAACTTGGGCCGTTTATAATCTTTTATGAACTGATGACAGCTTTGCGTGGGAGGTGCAGAGTCAGCCTACTTGACGCCATTTTTGGGAGGGGTTTACAGAGATAAGCTCCGTACCACCTACAGGAGGGGATGGAGACAAAAATCAACAATGAACTTGCTGCAAATCCAGTCGACATTTTGCAGCAAGCAATACGAAACTTGGATGACTGACTCCCAAAATGTATCGCTAAAAAGGGTAGAGGGCGGTCTCCTAAAAGAAGTTGTTTTTCCTGGATAAACTTATAACCTTTTGAAAATACATTTCCATTGGCACCCTCAACTTTAAAATTTATTTGCCCCTCCTAGTTTGTATATTGCGAATTTTATAGGCATTTAAAATTAGTCGGATTCAAACGTGCCACCTTTTATTATAATAAAGGTTTTTCATTAGAATAAAACATGAAATACTAACAATAATATTATATTTTCGTAAAAAATACTCAACAAACATTACCTGAATACTATCGCAAAATTAAGAATGGATTTGTGAAAGTTGCCAATAACCTTGGCAATGAAATAAAAAAAATCATATCGACCAAAATGGTCTCCTTATCGGCCTGTTCCTTGTGAGAGCAAAATTATCTAGATTGTATTAGAAATCTGCAAATTGGTAAATATTTTGGTGGTACAATGCAAAAGCTGGTTCTGCTGTGAGCCCGCATTATAATTTCAACGTTGACGACCGGAGTGAACAAAGTGACAGACTGCATTGACGAAATAACAACACGAGTGACTTGCCGCCGCGTCTGTGTTCCTGAGTTCAATGGGTGTTAGTTAGTGTTAGAGAACGAAATTGTTATCTCATAGCAATTACTACATTTCGAGGATTGACCTGCCAAAGATTTTAGCCTCTCATAGTCCACCCACCTTATATCTTATTCAGCTCGTTTCGTATTTGCTAGCTACGCTACTGAATTCTCATGAATCTGGTGTATAGGCAATTTTTTTACCCCACAATCTGTGATGAGTTGCTTATAGTAAATCTTCCATATACTTGCGGCATACAAGTGCATCGAATGGTAGAAAAACTGGAGCTATCTTTCAAATTATTACCTCGAAAAACAAGTCTCGGGCATAATGGGTCTGCATCGAGGTATTGTATCTGTATGTGAACAAAAGAACATCAGCTTGATTACACAGGCCAAGATTTTTGCCCATCAGAAATAAGAATACACTTTCCCGGAGGTTTTTGATGCGCTGAATCCAAATCCGTGGTCCCAATATCTCAATTGGCTCTAGTTTCCGAGACATCATACACCCAAAAGTGGAAAAACGGCCTCAAGTTGACTCTGCACTTCCCACGCAACGCCCTTATCAGTACTTGAAGGACTATGTTCACAAACCATACCCGCTGAGGAAATCAGTCAATTCGTCCGTAGACATTCTTTCTCTGCCCTACTGGGATATGGAAACGTCGCCTCTTCCCGATAACCTAACTCGGGCACACGTGGCATCGTGGGAGCGCGATCAGAGCATAGAGAACACTATGCTGTTGCGCGGCCGATCCGTCTCCCAAGAATATTTTTCAGGGCTAATGTACACATAAATCTATGATATGTGAAATATGTCTGGTATGGCAGCGTATAAATGTGCCAGCATCAAAAAATGAAATAAACCCTCCCCACTCCTTACAAGCCCCCATCATATTTTTTTTTCAAAAATGATCCGGATCCTCTAAAACGTTAAAGAAAGGAGTTTGAGCGATGTTTGTTTTTGTACCCTAGCTCTGCCACCACTGGACCGATTTTCAAAAACTACAAAGCTTTTGCCTCCTTGGCATCGAAGTTTTTGTATAAAATTTCATCGAAATCCGCACGGGTACTATGTAAAAAAAATTGAAAACGTCAAAAGAAAAACGACGAAATGTCACTTTTCTAGATATGTAATACCCGTGTCAAGCGCTACTTTGCAAGCTATAGGCGGTTATAGGATTAGCGGACAGACCGACAGACGGATAGAGCTAGGGAAATGAGTGACATGGTTTTTCGTCACGGGTATCATGTAAAACACCTATAAAACGTCAAAAAAAACCTATAATATGTCAACTTGCAGACTAGGTAGTTTTTAGGGCGCAAACAGTCATTCAGTGTTGCCAGTTCGATATTCATTTCATCAGTAAATGGGTTGCCAAAAATTCAGTAGATTTCAGTAGATATATATTTTATGCAAATTTTAAGAAAGGGTAATAAAAAAGACCTATGAACTCGAAAAAATATGTATTTTTTATAAATAAAGAAAATTTGTGTGCTTAACAAAATATAGGAATATGTACACAAAACAAAAATTTTAACTTATACCTAATTCTTAATTTAAAAAAACCTATCACAAAATAAAGTTACTTAGGATATACTCATCAGATACGAGTACATAAAAAACAGCAGTAAATAGTAAAAATAATAAACAACTCCAAAAATACAAAACAAGTAAAAAAATTAAACGTAAGAAACTAGAACTAGATAGATATAAAAAATAGAATTTATTCGGAATCTGATAAAGTATTGTACTTTTTTGGTTTATACATATCATTATTATGTAAATTGATTACTACTTTTGTAAATGTAACGTTTGTACAATTTACTTTCCTAGACTTCAAATAATTGTTTGTGTGTAGATGTCCCACAATACTCGTAGTTGAAAGTTTATTTCTTTGATTAGTTTTCATTAGATTTACCGCAGAAAAAACTCTTTCTACATTTGCCGATGAATGTGGTAAAATTAACAAATTGAAAACAAATCTACTTAAAACAGGAAACATGGAAATTCCGTCGCTGTAGCGCATACTTTCAATTTTTGACCAGAATGTTTCTACATCTACATCACAACTGAAATTTAAATCCGTATTTCGAAGTAATCGCCATTCATTATCTACTAGTTGAAATTCATTCTCCGAAACCAAGTTTGGAAAATGTTTCATAAGTGGCATGATACTGTCAGCTTTCTTGTCCAAAATATTTTTTACGCCTATTAAATCCATATTAATTAAAATGGGGTCATCGAAGTCAAACCTTTGATTTATTTGGTTTGCGGCCACTACATAAAACTCTAGGCGTCTTTTCCTAAAAGTAGATTTGTCGGAGTCACCCAATGACTCAATTGAGACTCGAAGTTTGGCTCCTAAATACAATTTTTCTAAGGGAAGAAAATTATTAGGATCTTTGAAATCAATTTGATAAAGTGGGGACTGTATGAGTACTTCCCTTTTTAAAAAACATTCTAAAAAAGATTTATACACAGTACTTATAGATTTGTATAAATCTTGGATAGCCGGTTTTTCACATTGCATCTGCCTATTAAGAGTGTTAAAAAAGGATAAAGAAAATTCTAAAAATTGAAAATATAATTTTGTGACGCGATCATTCAACTTTGTTAGTATATTTTCTGGTGTTAAAGTTCGATCAGCTTCAGAGGCAACTGTGAAAAAAAATTAAGGCATTATATTGCTCTAAAATTCTAGAGACTACAACTTCTAAAGATAGCTATCTTGTCTGGGCCGGATGTAACATTTTATGTATTCGTGTTTGGGCAAAAGTTTGAAATTATTTAAAAGTTTCGGCTCTTTTTGGACTATTTGAGAAATAAGTATATATTTCACGGGCCAAATCTTCAATCCCCCTAGGTAATTTTAAACAAGCATATGACGCACATAGATGAAAGCTGTGACAAATACACTTAACAACATAAACATTTGGTATATCTACCTTTAACCTAGTTACTACTGAATTGTGTTTTCCAACCATAACGTTTGCCCCATCAGATGCGAATCCAATTAGATTTCGTTGATACAGTATTTTCTTCAGGCTAAAAAAGTTGGTAATTTCTTTATACAGATCTTCAGCTCTGGCTTCTTTGATTGGCAGTAATGCAAGGAAACTGTCTTGGATTCTAGAAGAAAAAAATAGTTTTATAACTTAAAAATTTATATATTATCATATTATGAACTTACGTATTATTATGACGGTATCTAAAAACAAGACACAAATGTTTTGTGCATGAACGGTCTGTGGATTCTTCAATAATTAATGAAAATTTAATCTTAGTTAAAATTTCACAGATTTCCTCCTCATGCCTCTTGCTAATAACATTCTTAATAACACAAGAGCATTTAGTCCGACTACATTTAATTTTCTTTGCTATTTCTGAATCAGGTGCCAGTTTGGTTATTACTGCAGGTAAATGCTCCATCACATTATATGACAAATTGTGCTCAGTGGCCAAAGCTGCGAGATGTCAGTCTGCCGTTTTTAATATGGTTTCCTGATTTGGGCCTCGTTTAAAAACCGCCATATCTGTTAATGTTCCCTGCTTTTTCTGAGATTTGCATAGTTTCATGTCCATCGCACCATCCTGATGCCGAACTAGTGCTAATCTGCCAGTAGTTTTAATAGAAATATCTTTACTGCATACACGGCACATACCAAAGTATTCATCTTTTCCCTGTTTGATCCACTTTTTAAATTGCTCCTCTTCGGTCCAGCTTTTCTTAAATACTTGATTATATTTATTTTTTTTTTCTTTGAGGGACCAGCCCCTTCATTTTCAGAGTTATGGTACGAACTTGAACTAAAAACATAATACATTACATCTTTAGAATTCAATATTAACTAATAAAAGTGAACTTACCTCATTTTTGTACGTGCGCTTATACGAAAGGATTAAAAAATAAAGTATTCAACAAAACCACTGGATACGAGATCAAACCGAATTGTGAAGGTGAAAACGAAGAAAAAACCAAAACCCTCGCGTTGTCGCGCAGAGCTGGGAAATCCCGGTCCCCGTAGTCGTTTACGCATTAATAACCGGTGATTCCCCGTGGCCGTGGTCTGGTCCAGTGATGTAGGAATACGGTCCATGTTGCCAGGTCGCATAAAACCACTACTGTTATGGATGATGCCATGATTCGAATAATTATTACGGATGATTCACTCATGGAAGATTCATCCGAATATTCTATTCATCCGTTTCCGTCTAACCGGTTAGCAAAATATTCCGAATATTTACATCAGTAGTCTGGGCTGTAAAGTATTACCAACATGATATCAAGCGCTAAGACGCTTTCGTTTTATTTAGGGTCATCATTGATGACCGTATTTAAACTGCTTCTTCGACAATATTACGCAAGGTCTAGGTTATGAATTAAAAATTAACAATAATAATAACATTAATTAGGCATCATAATTTTTTCAGTAGTTTACAAAAATGTTTCAGTAGATCAGTAGATCAATATACAAATCAGTGGATCTACTGAAAATTCAGTAAAACTGACAACACTGCAGTCATTCCACGTTTGCTCACTAGGATCGTTGTGAACGTCCATCTATGGAGGAATTTCTCAACTAAACTACGCATTATTGGTTGCATAGTTTTGTGAGGCTGAGTGATCCGGGTCTGTAGTTTTTATCTCTAAGAAGAAAGTTGGTTCGTTGGTTGAATATCAAGTTCGCATCTGGATGATTATGTGTATTGGTCTGCATGTGTATAAAATCAGTGATATTTGCTGTGTGAGAAAATCATTACAAAATATGCCGAATATGACGGGTTATTTATATGTTGTGCTTTCTGAAGAGAGGTTATGTTCAAAGTTATAAATTACGAAAAACTGAGGAGAATTACGGGTAAATCATCACCGCGCCCGTGTTGTGTGTAATTACTGTTAGCATGTATAAGGCTTGTAATTCGACAGTGTTCAGTGATTATAATTATTTCTTATCACTCTCATTTTCGAAATTCAGCAAATTTGTATATGAATTTCCAGAATGGATAAGAAAAAGTGGATGCGCAACTAATTTCTAGCTTTGAAACCCAATTAAGTGTACTTGAGACAAGAACCCAATGCAATTATCATCAACACATACAACTTACAGCTTAGACCTAAAGTAATGCCATCTCAGAAGCAGGTTTTACATCACATCGAAGCCAAAGATTGATAACAAGCCTCATGACGTTTAGGCAACACGTACAACTAACTGCTAAGTTAACATCTTGTAGAATAACCTGCATAATGTCAAAAAAAACAGCATAATGTCAAAAAAAAATCGGCATAATGTCACTTTTCACGATACGTGATGCCGGTGCGTGATGTACATGTCATATAACACCAAAAAACATATATTTTCTAAATTTTTCGCGATTACAATACTTACTCGCCAGTAGGCGCGGAAAGTAAAAACATCTATTTTTGCCTATATTTGAGCTTATGTAAGATACCGAATAATTTTTTTTCAAAAACCAATGACATATTCTCAAAGTACAAGCCTTGCCCTTTTAAATGCAGTTGAGTTTCCTTAAATGCCTTTTTTTCGGTAACGATACATTCTGCTTGTTGTGTTATCACTTCTAACCAGACTCATTTTGTAAAGAAATACAATTCAAATTAAAGGTCAATTAAATCGCGAATGGGACCAAAAAGGACGAATGAAAGTAGTCAGCTATGCTAATCAACAGTCGTCTGTAATTTGGTTATCGCTTTGATCCCAATTAAGGGTTTAATTAGTATTGACACAGCAGTTCTAATTAAATGGCTGGCCTGTCTGCAAGCAAGTTGTATCTTTCTAACAAGGAAGCATTGGAAACTTTTTGAAAAATCATGAGTTTCGCAGAAAGTGTAACAGTTCATAGACGTCTAATGTCAGTAACTAACAGTATCTATCATATTTTGTTCAATGCTATTGAGCTTGGGAAACTGAATAAAACTGAATTTTTAAAATTCATTGCCAGAGTTCTAGTGAAACTCTTTCGCGACTGATGGTCTCTGTACTAGAGTTGGGCCGCCAAATCGTTCCTTTTGGTGATTCGTTTCCATGGTTCCGTATCCAGCGTCGGAATTTATTCTTTGAGTTCGTTCAGGAGTCTGATTCTTTTCGATTCCCATCCACTTTGACTCCAGTTTCTTTCGATTCCGATTCACGCTTATCCGAAACATCCGTTATGTGTACAATGGTTGAAAAGTCCTAAAATATGGCCGAAATTAGGAAGATTCACTAAAGTTGATCAAATATCAAATAGGCGAACTTAATATGGTGTGAATTTTTGCAAAAAAATGTTTTGATTGAGTTCAAATTTAAACTTTAGATGTTTTCAGGGTAGCTCATAATGTTCTTGATATCGATTGTTCAAAAATCGAAATGGCGCTTCTAATATGGCGGCTATGTTTACAAAAAATATTTCGATCGCGCTCAGTGTTTACCGATATATAGGGTGATTTATACTAAGTGACATATAAATCCGAACACCCAGTTTAAATGGTTTTATTTTACTAAAAGTTGGTGAATGTATTTATCTTACTGTAAATAAAAAGTGAAAAAATGTTCAGCCTTATCATTTGGTTTTTATACTGCTTTTTTTTAATTCACTAACGCTCTAAAAATGAATATTTCAGCCGCAGTAAAGAATCAACGTTGGCGGATTTTGGTTCTTGACATCGGATTTATATGTCACTTAGTATATTTGGCGGGTTTAGATATATCCGTAAAAATTGAATTTATAACTTTTTTATTTTCAGATATAGAAACCTCTCTGTCTACACTACCTACCATTTCAATATGTCCATTAAAGTACGGAAAACCCTCTATGAATTAATTAACTTATTAAGTTGATTTTTAAACATTAATGTTGTGTTTCTATTGTATACATGTTCATTTGAAAACCTCCCACTACGGATTTATCGAAAATCACTGATTAAAAAGAAAAACGCCGAGGCACGTCAAAAGGCTTGTCAAGGGGACAACTTTTTAACCAAAAACTACTTCACCCCCTTTCACCTTCGACCCCCAAGGGTCCAAAACCATTGAAAACCAAATCAAAGAGGATGGAAACACTATACTTGATGAGGCTGAAATATATTTCCATCAAGGCGGCGCTCCTCCTTACTATGTTCTTCCGGTTCGGTAAGGGCTAGACGACGAGTTTCCAGATAAATGGATGGGGCGAAGAGGGCCTATAGATTGGCCTACTAGATCTCTTGATTTGACGCCATTAGACTTTTCTCTATGGGGCCATTTGAAATCTAATGTGTTTACTCCCCAACCTGAAAGCTTGGATGAACTTCGTCAACGCATCATCGAAACCTGCCATGACATGTTTTTGAAAATCTCCGTCAGGAATTTGAACATCGGTTATATCATTGTTTGGCCGATAACGGGCAACATTTTGAGTGATATTTCGTGTGTTTTTGTTTTCCATCTGAACAAATAAAGATAAATAAAGATTTTAGTAATTTGAAAACGAATAGACCGATTTCAAAAAATCCAACGTCAGAATAGAGACCTTTTAACAAAGCTATTACTCGATACTCCTTGTCGTTTATTTTTTTTAAGGGGATGACCCTGGGGGCAGAGTGTGAAAGGGGGTGAAGTGGTTTTTGGATAAATCTTTTGAGTGTCTCGGCGTTTTTTCTTTTAGTCAGTAGTTTTCGATAAATCCATGGTGGGAAGTTTTCAAATGAACACCCTGTATAGATTTATATGCCAACAATGTTTTTATCTTTCCTTGCAACATCGGCTGAAAAAACTATAACGGTGACAACGCGCTTATTCAAAAATGTTTTCATGGAAATGATTCTTAAATTATGTAGTCGGAACTTCAAACTTCGTTTTTAAAAAACTTTATTTGGTTCCAACAATAGTTTAGATGGACCGAACCGGATTTACAGTGTATGTTTGTTCGCTGTGACTGAGATTGAATGACTGACTCATAATTAAGATAAAATCGTTAATATAAACCAAAAGTGATGAGCTAGTAAAAAGGAATACAATGCAATTATTATATCAATTAATAATGTGTTAAATAACAGCAACATAACTCCTCCACCCTTAAGATGAAGTTTTGGAGGGCACAAACAAAACTTCGTGCTTCTGGGGTTGCATTTCGATTTCTTCTAAATGCTGGTTTCTTCTTGATCCTTTTCTTCTCTGGTAATATTTTTTCACGAAAATGCATGCAAATCCAATTAACATAATTGCATACAGGGGTAGACTCCATTTGTAGGGGTGCTTCACTGTTTCGGGAAGATCTACCTGGATTTGGTCGGCTCGTTCTTGCAAGTGATGAAGTTTATCTAAGGAAATATATACTAACTTAATTTCCTTTGGATTTTCTGTTTTTGATGAAATGTGGACCGCTGGAAGCAACATCGGCTTTTCCATGGTTGTTCCTTTTTGATTTTTGTGAATGTAGTCCTTCGTTTG